TCTGTCTCTCTGTGTCTTTCTGTCTCTCTCTGTATGTGTCTCTGTCTCTCTCTCTCTGTCTGTCTCTCTGTGTCTTTCTGTCTCTGTGTCTCTCTCTGTATGTGTCTCTCTCTCTGTCTATGTCTCTGTCTCTCTGTGTCTTTCTGTCTCTCTCTGTGTCTCTCTCTGTATTTGTCTCTCTCTGTATTTCTGTCTCTCTCTGTCCCTGTCTGTCTCTGTCTCTCTCTGTGTCTTTCTTTATTTCTCTGTATGTATCTCTGTCTCTGTCTCTCTGTCTATATCTCTCTCTGTGTCTTTCTGTATTTCTCTGTAATTATCTCTGTCTCTGTCTCTCTCTGTGTCTTTCTGTCTCTGTATGTGTCTCTCCCTGTCTCTGTCTCTCTGTGTCTTTCTATCTCTCTCAGTCCTTGTCTGTCTATGTCTTTCTCTCTCTGTCTTTCTGTCTGTTTCTGTATGTGTCTCTGTCTCTTTGTCTATGTCTCTTTCTGTCTCTGTCTCTCTGTGTCTTTCTGTCTCTCTCTGTATGTGTCTCTCTCTCTGTGTCTTTCTGTCTCTCTCCCTGTCTCTGTCTCTGTGTGTCTTTCTGTCTTTCTCTGTATGTGTCTCTCCCTGTCTCTGTCTCTCTGTGTCTTTCTATCTCTCTCTGTGTGTCCCTCTCTGTATGTGTCTCTCTATGTCTTTCTGTTTCTCTCAGTCCCTGTCTGTCTATGTCTCTCTCTGTGTCTTTCTGTCTTTTTCTGTATGTGTCTCTGTCTCTCTGTCTGTCTCTTTCTGTCTCTCTGTGTCTTTCTGTCTCTCTATGTGCCTCTCTCTGTCTTTCTGTCTCTCTCTCTGTGTGTCTTTCTGTCTTTCTCTGTACGTGTCTCTGTCTCTCTGTCTCTGTCTGTCTCTCTGTGTCTTTCAGTCTCTCTCTGTTTCTGTTTCTCTGTCTCTCTGTGTCTTTCTTTATGTGTCTTTCTGTCTTTCTCTGTGTCTGTGTCTGTGTCTCTCTTTCTCTCTCTCTCTCTCTCTCTCTCTCTCTCTTTCTGTGTGTGTGTGTTGTATGTGCGTGCACGTGCTCTGTTTGGATTCAGGGAGTTGTATTGGGTTATCATAGATCTCAAAGCTTCTCTCCAGAGTAGAATGGAGCCCAGAATAAGCCAGGAGTGTTAGAAAGAGGACAATTTTGGGCTAGCCTTTGGAAGACTGTCAGAGGTTCTCTGTACAGAGTAGAAAGCCTAACAGATGGATGGAAGCCTGTATTCTAGTTCCAGGTCTGTCACTTCTCAACTGTGTGTGCTTGGAAGAAACATGAGGTCTCTGAGCCCGATCCCTCACAGGTTATTCTATTTCCATTTGTTTGATTTTTGTTTCTCTGTGTAGCCCTGATCATCCTGGAACCGTCACTGTAGACCGGGCTAGTCTCAAACTCAGCGATTTGCCTGCCTCTGTCTCCTGAGTGCCGGGATTAAGGCGTGTGCATCACTGCCCAGCTTATCCTATTGAGATGACACCGGGAGCTGATGAAGGAGGTGTGTCAGAAACCTTTTAGGGTTAGAGATGGGTCAATATGGAACTCTAGTTAAATGTGAAGCTGTAAATTGATATCAGTACTGGGATAGAGCTTTGCTGCTGCTAGACAAGATGGGGTTGGTGGCTCTGGGTCTCTGAACTTTCTGTACAGGGATAGAAGGCATTGGGCTACAGCTACAGGTATTGGAGGAAGTTCTGTACGCAGAACTGCCGCTGGACCCAGGGCTTCTAGCTCTGTCACTGCTACCTGCAGGTTCTTCATCCTTTCCTGCTGGGATTACATGTTTGAGGGAAGCCCAATGGGATTGAGGAACACAGCTTGGGGACTGCAGGCCTGGATCACACGAATCTCCACCTCTCACTCAACGCGGCCTCCTTAGGTTCTTGGCTGTCTGCTCTCCACATCCTAGTGTTGAGGATGCCACATAGACTTCTGGATAGGATGCCTGAGAGTTTAGATACCACGCTGAAGTTCTGGGCTGGCTCAAGGCCTTGGTTAACAATGAGTGGCTATGCCCTAGGAGGTATTTACAGGACTAGTGCCCACCTAAGAGAGGCTCGATCCAATGTCGTCGGGGCACAACCTAGAAGCTTATGATTTGCCATTTGATGCTTGTGTATCCGGTGCAGGCAGAGAGAGTGCGTAATAATGACCTACAGGTAATACTGTACCTCCCGAGTCTGAAGTTGGCAATGGTGATGGTTCATGTGTCCCCACACAGTCTAATAGCTTGTTTTTAGGCAATCTCATTCATCCTTACCATCTGGCTAGGTCATAGCAATGACTCTGCATTATATGACACAACCCAAAAGCAGAAACGTGAAGGATACGCTCCAGGTGGCACCTGACCAGCTCTGAGTGAGGGACCATCCCTGTCGCCTCCCACCACCACATTGTACACTTGGAGGCCAGGGACTGAGCCTGCCCATTCACCCCTGCCCTGCATGAATCTGTAAATGGATCTGGCCTGGAGAGCCCAGCTTGCAGTCACCTCTGACTTCAGCCGCTCGATCTCCATCTCGCCATCCTCGAGCTGCTGTCTCAGCTGCTTAGCCACGGTCTTCTCTGCCTCCACGACCTGCAGCAGGTGCAGGTACTTCTGCATGAGTGATTCATGCTCTGTGGCCAGTATCTTGTAGCTGTGGACAGAGATGTATAACAGGTGAGATGCTGCCCCCTGTATCTGGGCCCACACCTTATGGCACACCAACTCCTGTTGCTTTAATAGCTTGGCTCTCTGTGATACTCTTTTTATCTGTCTCTGTCTCTCTGTGCCTCTGTCAACCTCTCTGTCTGTCTCTCTGTATAACACACACACACACACACACACACACACACACACACACACATACTCCTGGGACTTTAGGTAGATTAGCATTTTGAAACATACCCCCACCCTCTCCTAACTCCACCTCCTTAGCCAACTTCTGAGATCCGGCTGAAATGCCACCTCCTGGAAGCTATGGTGGACTCCACGGATCTTTTTTCAGCATCTGAGCTTCTAGTACCACGGTGATGGCGGGTGGATGGCGGATGGATATATTATACACCTAAAAAGCACTTAGTGGGCACTTGCTGCATGCAAGGGTGACTACAGATACATGCATCAGGCCTTGTGGGATATACAGAAGACAAGTAGGCACATACATCTCATTGTTTGTTTGGGTGATGCCTGAAGACACTGCACAGGACACAGAAATGTCAAATGGTGAGTTGCGGGCTCTTAGTGTACGCCACTGAGGCAGGGGCGGGGGCAGCAACAAGGACTTGTGGTCAGGCAAGATTTCTAGTAGGTCCTAGGCAATACAACCCCAAGTTGGAACTGAGGCTTCTGATTCCAAACATAGTTCCTTGGGTATATACTCACTGTAGGGCAGCCCCAGGTAGGAGGCTGTGTCAGCAGTAATTGATAACAAGGTGAGGTGGTTAGGTGGCACCAGATCAGAGAGAGTCCCAAAGGACAGGCAAAAAAGGGAGAAGGTGTCTTGGAAGATGGGTAAATTAATATGTGGTGTATAGAAGGAGAGAGTGTTAGAGAAGGAACGGAAGTAAGGAGTGGCTTGCACAAGGTCACCACACCCCTGAAGAGAGACCTCTAAGTTCTAGGTCTGGGCCTCTCCATGATGCTTGATATGAGGTACAAACAAGTCTATTGGAGAGCACCATAGCTGGGTAAGAATCTAATTCCAGAAATATCCAGCCTTGGAGGACAGGGAGGCTTGGACTCCAACATCTCATAGGGACATGTCTGTGCAGATGGGGTCAAGGCCAGGGAAAGAGCCTTGGGGGAGAAGGTTGGAGTTCTCAGGGATAACGAGGTCTGGGTCTGTATCCTCCATTTTTCCTCAAATTCTTCCTCTTGCTTCAACCCGTCCTCACCTCCCGGCCTCCTGCTTGCCTTCCCTCTCTCACACCTGCCCATTCCTCTGTGCTCTCTCCTCACCTAGCGAGATCCCATCGTGATCACCCTGTGTCTCCTTTCTTAGTGGTAGTGAGGAGCTCCTCTTCCCATCCTTGGACTGGCAAGGGCCAAGATATCTCATAAGCCCATTAGACCTTTCTGTGGAGTCTCTTTCTTTCAGAGGAAACTGCCCTCTGCTCCAGTATGTATCCATTCCAGCATCCAGAAAAGGCCCAAGTCCCTACTCCTTTAGAACAAACCAAGTTGTCTCTTGACCTCCCTAGCTCTACCCTGACTGACAAAGTGATTGGATTGAGGTAGCTAGGATATTAGGAAAGCACACACCCTCACGTGTTTCTGAGGGTGTTTCCACAGATGATTAATGAAGGGCTGGAAGGACTTGTTTTAACTGTGGGTGGTGCCATCCCATTGGCTTGAGGTCCAGAATTAACCAAAGGGGAAGAAGGATGAAGCCTACTAGCTAGGATAGTCTCTGTCTGCTTTCTGGCCAAGAAGTATGCAGCTTCTTTCTGCCACAGGCTCACAACATGGCTGCCTATCCTACCACAATTCCATACACAACAGAGCCCAAGGGATGGAGGAATAAATCTACAGAAACCGTGACCAGATTAAACCTTTCCTCCTTGAGGTTGTTCTCTTAGTCATGTTACCTTCTTTTGCACTGGCTCAGCATAGTTTAACTGAAAGAACAGCTCGCCTAGTGACCCTACTTATGAGATACATGCTAGAAAAGACTACAAGAGCAGGATTTTTGAAGCCCACTGGAGCTCACACCATGCCCTAGGTACTGGATATGCTCATGACATGACCTGGACACCCATACATGGAGCTTCATGCTATAATGTTTGTCTGGCTGGGTGTTGGCCTCCTTTCTCCTTCCTATGCTTCCATTCCTCTCTTTGGAAAGGGAAAGGTCCCATACATATGTGTCAGAAGTACATGACTTCCTTTTATGTTGTAGGTGCTCACACTACTGCTGCCTTGAGACATTGAAGAGTTTAAACTTAGCCTTCTGAGTGATTCTTGGACCATTAAGACTGGAGACCTTTGGGGATAGAGTAAATTTTATACTGTGAGATGACCATGGGCCTTTGGAGGCCAAGGGAAGAATATTATACTTCAGACTGGAGTGTTTCTCCTGAGCTGATGTTTAAAGGCTTGAGAGCCAGCAGGTGCCCTTTTGGGAGCAATCACAAGGCTTCTGACCTAATCAGTGAACTGATCTTTCTTTTATGACTTCATCGTTGAGAGGAGTGTTGGGATGTAGTAGGAACTGTGGAAGGTCTAATTGGAGGAAGTGTGTAGCTGGGGAACATGTCTGTGAAGGACATATCTTGTCCTCAGCTCTTGCTTTTTTTTTCTTCTCTGCTTCTTGCATCTATGAGGGGAACAGTTTTCCTCTACTATACCCTTCTGATGTTTCTATCCTAATATGAACCTAAACTTCATGGAGTCAGCCAACTGTGGCCTGAAACCATGAACCAAAGTAGGTCCTTCTTCCTTCCTTCCTTCCTTCCTTCCTTCCTTCCTTCCTTCCTTCCTTCCTTCCTTCCT